ATATATATATATAATATAATATTATATATATATGTATAATATATATGGTATATATAATGTTTTATATATATATATATAAATATTATAATATATATATATATATATTTGTATATGATATATATAATGTATATGTATATATTATGCCTCATATTAAAATGAAAATAATATAGAGAAGTAAGAAGTAATGTAATTCTGAATTTGTCATTGCACATATCTGTATTTCAGAGGAAATGGACCTGGGCGGTAGATTGGCTGAACGATGAATTAGACCGTCGACCTTATGCAGCAGCTAATCAGCAATACGGATTCAGCAATTGGTCTCCACCTGCACAAAGTAACGAAACTAGCAATGGCTACTTCTTGGAACGTTCACCTAGTGCTCGCTCAACGCTGGAAAAAGCCTATGAGTTGTGCCCTGAGGACGTAAGTTGTAATTTTTTTTTCATTCTTTCTTTTTTCATTATGCGTGCTGAGATTTAAATACTGAAAAGGGATACCCCTTCTTATTGGACTATATGGAGACAGATGATGGTTCAAGTGCATGGTCAGCATCACTAATGTGAGAGTAAATGTGAATTTTTAGTTTTCTCAAATAAGGTACCAGTGTCATCCATTAAGAGAGTGAAAGATTTAACAAGAAGTTACATCAGACTAGTGTTTTTCCCTTACAAAACTATGAGATTTAGAGCCTAAATCTGAAGGTTTCTGGGAGTCTGGCAACACTTCTGACAGGAACATTATGCAGCTGACAGTAGTTTCTTTATTGCCACAATTACTTGGTTGGCAACACTAGCAGACACTTAACTTGTATTTCATTTAGTTCACTCATTTTACATACTTAACAGTGATCTATAAGGAGTTATGTTAGTAATGTTTCCTAAGTATGTGCATGGTGGTATGTAGCCGTCTTCTTTCTTCTTCTCTCTTTCTTTTTTCCCCAAGCTATTTTTAAATGCTCATGAGTTTTATCCTTTTCTTTGATAGGAGCCAGAGGCAGAAGAGGGTGAAGAGGCAGAGGTAGCAGTTCCAGAAGAAGTTGCACCCCTTCCTCCTGTATCTGACCCAGTGCAGTTGCAGCAACAACAGCAGCAACAGCAACAACAGCAGCAGCAACAGCAACAGCAGCAACAACAGCAGCAGCAGCAACAGCATTGTGCGCAGCAGCAACAGCAGCAGCAGCAGCAACCACAGCAGCAGCAACCTGGGGTAAGTCATTAACATCAATTTTTAAAATTGTTTTTTGATGCATCTGGTTTTAATCGAATAATGAAATGTAGATTTCCCAGTATAACAAATTATCCTGTTTTCAATGGCTCTTAAAGAGAAAAGACAGTAAAGGTGAAAGTCCCCATATCGGACTTGACAACTTTGTCCAGTTGCCCACCTTCAGATACAACCAGTCTGAAGCACAGGGGTTGAGCTTGAGGGCTGCCACACCCTGTCAAGTGTGGGCCTCACCTATGTGTAAACTATGATACTAACACCTCTATGGTATGAGGAATGAAGTAGCTTCACAGTTTTTATGACTTTTTAAAGTTAGAAGCATTTATAAACCAATGACATTATCATCATGTTCGTCAAAGGATCATGGGAGCAAGGGCTGGCAGTTTTTTTTGTGTATGCATGTCTGTCTTTATGCATATTTATAGATAAGTGTATATATGTATAAGTTAATGTATAAAAGTATATGTATACATGTTTATGTATGCATATATACATGCATATTTTTGCGTATATACATGTATATGTATACATGTATATTTATAAATGTAAATATGTGAGAGAGAGTGTGTGTGTGTGTGTCTGTGTCTGTGTGAGAAAGTGTGTGAGAGAGAGAGAGTGTGTTTGTGCGAGTGAGAGTGAGTGAGTGAGTGTGTGAGAGTGTGGGAGTGTGTGTGTGCGTGAGAGAGAGTGAGTGAGTGTGAGTGTGAGTGAGAGTGAGTGTGAGTGAGAGTGTGTGAGTGTGTGAGAGTGTGTGAGTGAGTGTGTGTGAAAGAGAGTGTGTGAGTGTGTGAGTGTGTGAGAGAGAGAAAAATATATATTTTTCTCTCTCTCACACACGCTCTCTCTCTCACACCCACACACTCTCTCTCTCTCTGTCTGTCTCTCTCTCTATCTCACACACACACACTATAACTCACACACACACACCCTCACTCTATCTCACACACTTTCTCACACAGACACAGACACACACACACGCACGCACGCACACACACTCCCTCTCTCACACACACGCCCTCTCTCTCACACACATTCTCTATAGCTCACACACACTAACACACTCTCTCCCACACACACACACACTCCCTCTCACGCACTCTCACTCTCTCACATACACTCACTATCTCTCACTCACACACACTCTCCCCCTTCCTCTCCCCCACACACACACACTCATACACACACACACTCTCTCATACACACTCACTCTATCTCACGCACACTCACACTCTCTCTCTCGCGCACACACACACACTCGTATAACTTCGTATAATTTATGCTATACGAAGTTATTACGGATGTGTACATACTGTCATGGAAATAGTTTCTGAGGGCCAGGGCAGAGTCCGGGCCAGACTATATAGGGATACGTAATAACTTCGTATAGAATACATTATACGAAGTTATACGAATCTTGGTGACATGACCATCACATTACGAAAAAAAGTTGGCTTGAGGATTCGGTGATGTGTACATACTGTCATGGAAATAGTTTCTGAGGGCCAGGGCAGAGTCGTATAACTTCGTATAATTTATGCTATACAAAGTTTTTCGAGAGAGAGAGAGAGAGGGAGAGAGAGGGTGTGGGGGTGTGTGTGTGTGAGCGTAATAACTTCGTATAGAATACATTATACGAAGTTATACGAATCTTGGTGACATGACCATCACATTACGAAAAAAAGTTGGCTTGAGGATTCGGTGATGTGTACATACTGTCATGGAAATAGTTTCTGAGGGCCAGGGCAGAGTCCGGGCCAGACTATATAGGGACATAATATTGAGTCTGTCTAAGGAAAACAGCCAATTACCATCTGGATAAAAGCATATTAAATATATATTTTTCTCTCTCTCTCTCACTCATACTCACACACACATACAAACACACACACAACAAACACACACACAACAAACACACACACAACAAACACACACACCCACACCCACTCTCTCTCACTCTCTCTCTCCCTCACACACACCCACCCCCACACACACACGCTCACCCACACACACACACTCTCTCTATCTCACACACACACAAACTCACACACACTCTCACGCACTCACACGCACACACACACTCTCCGTAATAACTTCGTATAGAATACATTATACGAAGTTATACGAGTGTGTGTGAGAGTGTGGGAGTGTGTGTGTGCGTGAGAGAAAGTGAGTGTGAGTGAGAGTGAGTGTGTGGGTGAGAGAGAGAGTGAGAGAGTGGGTGTGGGTGCGAGAGAGCGTGCGTGAGTGTGCGCGAGTCGGTGTGAGTGAGAGAGAGAGTGATTGTGTGTGTGAGAGATAGCGAGTGTGTGTGTGAGTCGTATAACTTCGTATAATTTATGCTATACGAAGTTATTTCGGAGAGTGTGTGTGTGTGCGTGCGTGCGTGCGTGAGAGAGAGTGAGAGTGTGTGAGTTTGTGTGAGCTAGTGTGTGTATGTGTGAGTGAGATAGAGTGTGTATGTGTTTGTGTGTGTGTGAGAAGGTGTGTGAGAGAGAGGGAGTGTGCGTGAGAGTGGGTGAGAGAGAGTGTGAGAGAGAGTGATTGTGTGTGTGAGAGACAGAGAGAGAGAGAGTATGTGTGTGTGAGTATGAGTGAGAGAGAGTTAGTGTGTGTGAGAGTGGGAGAGAGTGTGTGTGTTTGAGCGAGAGAGAGTGGGAGTTTGTGAGAGAGAGAGAGTGAGAGTGTGTGTGTGTGTGTGTGTGTGTGAGAAGAGAGAGAGTGTGTGTGTGTGGTGTGTGGTGTGTGTGAGTGTGTGTGGTGTGTGTGTGTGTGTGTGTGTGGTGTGGTGTGTGTGTGTGTGTGTGTGAGAAAAATATATATTTAATATGCTTTTATCCAGATGGTAATTGGCTGTTTTCCTTATACAGACTCAATATTATATCCCTATATAGTCTGGCCCGGACTCTGCCCTGGCCCTCAGAAACTATTTCCATGACAGTATGTACACATCACCGAATCCTCAAGCCAACTTTTTTTCGTAATGTGATGGTCATGTCACCAAGATCATAGGGGTTAACCAGAATGTTATTATTGGCAATAATATTTTGTCAACAATTTTAGAATATATGGCCAGTAAACTGATTATTTATTAGTTGAGGATAACACAGTTGATATCAAAGGAATATTGGAAAAAGAGAAAAGTTGAAAAATTCTTTATCAGATGATCTATAAGTTCATTTTTAGTGTTGATTTATCCTATTCTTTTGTAAAAGGTCACATTTTCATCATTAGATTGGAGTTCAGGTACCAAAGTAAAGGTGCTGTAACCTGAAAATTGCTTAAATGAGGTTGAAGAGAAAAGCAGAAAAGAAAAGAAAGAATAAAAATAAGAGCAAAGTAAATGAACATGAAATTAAAGGGAAACTCTCCGAGGTATATTGTATCTGTATTTACCCAATTTCGTTATTTTTTTTTAAAGGTTTTTACTTAGTTCTATTAGTATTGATTATTAAAGTGTTGTCATTAGTATTAATGATATTGACAACCATTTTGAAAATATTAGAAATGACCTTTTTCTTTCATAAATTCAAGGAATAGGATTAATAGTTGATAACTGGTGGGCCAAGCAATTAGCTCCTTAGTGACTAAGTACTTGTGAACCCAATGTGTGTAAATGCTAAAGTGGACAATATATGTGTCCAGTGCCAGTTCACATGATAAAGGGTTTTGTCTAAATTTTTCTTAAAATATGGTATTCATTGATTAAACACTGACCAAAAGCAATACCTAAAAGGTTTTGTCTAAATATTTCTTAACCCACTTACAACGGCTGTTTCATATATGAGACACCCATACTAAAAAATTGCCTAGCATCCCGCCAGTGTGACGCTGTATCGGGGCTTGCGCTCTGACTCAGCAGCGGGCTGCGGCCGACGTGCGGGTAGAGAGTCCGGGCCAGCCTTGCTCGCCAATTTTGTAGCCACCCGGAAACTTGTATTTTTGGCTTCAAAATATACCGGCGGTAATGAGTTAGAATATGGAATATATTGATTAAGCAGAAAGCAAAACCTATGGTCAGTTTTTTTGTGTCTAATCCTAATGGTGTTGTGGTTGTTCATCAGCAGCAGCAACAACAGCCTCAGCAGAAGCTACCACCTACCTCAGGACCTCAGCCTTGTAGTTCCCAGTTAAATTCAACCAAGGATTCTCCAGTTAGTACACAGAATAGAAGGTAAGCATAATTACCAGTCTTCATTAGTTGGAGGAATCATCTACGAATGATTGAGTGTGTGAGTGAGGAAGACCCAGTGGCCATGAAGGTCTCATTATTATTACTAACCTGTTTATAGAAAAATGTGAATGGGATGATGTATGACATTTATCATGCTACTAGGAAGGGTGCAAAAATTTCCTGAGTCGATTGTTGCCTATTTTCCAATATGAGATGAAGAAAAAATACATCATCTTAAACAACTTGCTGCATATGTGTATATTTTGGAATTTTCTCCTTTTTATTCAGAGACACGAGTCCATTAACTCGTAGGTATGAGAGGGAAAGGGTAGAGGCGAAGGCAGATAACAGTTGATGATGAATATTGATTGCACATATAGGATAGAAATTCCCCCCACCCCTCCTCCCACCCCACTATAAAGACTATAGTATCTGCCTTTCTATATGCTTAAATCTTGGGTTCTATTGTATGTGGTTCTGTGTCTATAAAATCATTTTTTCTCGATAATGGCAAATATATAGTCAAGAAGAGATTGATAGAAAGAAACAGCAAGAATAAATTACAACCTATGGGAGAGTTGGCAAGTTAAAGAATTACAAAAATTTCCGACTTTTTCAAGTGGTCCCCTTTCTTGAAGTATGTCATATTACGGCTAAACTTGTTTCCTCTGACATTACTTGAAAGTTTGTATAAATAATGTTATTTTAACTTAACAGATCAGTGTGGTAAAGCTTATTTTTAGTGTGATGGAAATCAGCTGTAAAGATAGGCATATTCAATTCCTTTTGGTGAATTTCAATCCAAGGTCAAACAAAAGTCTTGCCTCAAGACGAATATGGACATCAAATTTTACTGGTAGACTTAAAGGATTTTCAAAACACGTTTCCTTATTTTTCTCATTACAATACATATATGAGTACCCTACCATTTTGAGGTGAAAATTCTAAATTTTATCTGAATTTTTCAGCCATAGTGGTGGTTCATTAACGGTTAACAGCGGAAACAGCAGTAATACCAGCATTGGTGACAGCAGTGCTCCAAATAACCCCTCAACTACAGCAGCAGCAACTACCATAGGTGGAGCACCTACTGCTAGTACCACCACAACTACCAATACTACCAGCAGTCAAGGAGGGAACCAGACAACCACCACAAGCATTAACACCAGCATTAGTAGTATCACAAGTAGCAGCAGCAGTAGCAGCACTACCACCAATAGCACTAATAATGTTGGAGGCACAAACAAGACCTCCACGCCATCACCACAGTCCACTCCAAATCTCCCACCCTCCATGCAGGAGAACCCACAGGATAACTAATCCACACATTCGGAATTTACGTTTGCTTAAGATGGAAGAAAAATTGTATGAAAATGAAACCATAGTTTCAGCTGTTTGGCATTAAATACTTGGGAGGATGGACTTGTTTGCCAATGCTGTTGTGTAGTGCTGCACCAAGGGGAAAGGTCACACAAGAGAATGACGCAACATGGATGTGAAGATTCTCATTTCATTATATGAGTCTGACCAAGAGTGAATCACTGCTTGATTCTTTTTTTTTTTTTTTTTTTTTTTCTTTTCTTTCTTTTTTTTTTCTTTTTTTTAATGGCAGTGTACAAGAGCACTTGCAAAGGACTTTTGTTATTTATCTTCAGAAGAAAAAATATATACATATGATTGTAAATAAATAGAGAATGGCAGTGAGATAAATTGCTGAAAGAAGATTGTTCCTTCTGCTCAAAGTGTATGTTGGGACCCTTCCTGTATATCATGTGACTTTGGTGATCACAAGTTCACAGCAGAATATATGTAGAGAAGTGGTGTGAATATATCACCAATGATTATTTATATGGAAATAAGTGTAAGCGTTACCGGTGAACCATGGAGGGTGGGAGGGTGGAGCCACCTGTGTATCTAGTGACAATTATGGAAGTCAAACGAATGTCTGTATTTTTGCACCTTGATTTCCGTAGCAAGTGGCTTTTGAAATTCATTCTGTAGGAGAAGCTTTCTGAGAAGTTTAAAGTATCTTACATGTGTTATATTCTTAAAAATCTGTCCTTTTTTACTGAGTAATATCCTTTTCATAAATACACTAGTAAGGGTGTGCTTAATTCAGTATTTTAAGTATCAAATTTTCCTGTGTACCTACGGAAAGACTCCACAAGTGACTAGTCAAGCAGTGAGTAGTGGAAGCCCCTAAGCCAGCCAGCTGTTCTATTCTGGACTTGGAAGGTAGCACCAACCTACTGAGTCCAGAGCTTGTAAACAAGTGGTGCCATGTTTAGGTGTCACAGTGCAATGTACAGGTGTTGCAGTGCCACACATGTGTCGCAGTACAACTGGCTGGCTGCTTCTGTAGAAGAGCATCATGGTCCGAGTGCCAACACCATGTGAACTACTTTGTCAGATGGGGAAGCACTGTTAGCCTCCTAGCACATCACCTGCTGTTGCAAAGTGCAATGTTTGAAAAAAAAAAAAAAAAAAAAGATATATAACTCACTAGTTTTAGTGAATTTTTTTGTAGTGGGATTGAGGCAGTGCCTGTGAATATGAATGAAGTACCAGTGATCCATAGGAAATGTGAAAGGAACAGTGAGGCTCAAAGCTTGAATTCCAAGTTTGTGGATTCCACTTCATGGTATGCTTGGATTCTGGCAAATATTAGCATGGAGATATCTTTTTCTGCTGTTGATGCCATGGTTTGGAGAAATGATAGCTGTGTAAGAATCCATATCCTAGAAACATTTGATACTCCAACATTATCTGCAGTTGAATATTACTCTTTGCTGACCGGCATTTCAAGTCACATGCACCAGTCAACCAAGCATCTTTTTCAGCTTGGAGTACTGCGACTCTTGTATCATTGTGAGAACGTTGGTCATTGCAATCGGTAGGCTTGTTGTCAGTCTGGCTCTTATCTGGTAAAAAGAAAAAAAATGATATATATAATAAAAAAAATCTAAGGATGGGAGCCTTATTGACCCTCAGGATTCCCGGTTATTATGATGGTAACCCTCACAATCCCCGCTTGTTGTCTGTGAGCCGTGCTGCTGCCAAGGTGTAACCACCTCTTGTTGTGACTTAGTAAGTTTTTGTATGGAAACTTTTGTTAGTTCCCTATTTATATTAATGATAAAGCAGTTTGGAGTGGAAATAGTGGTAGCAGTCAGTCACCATCGTTAGGAGCTGATCCAGCCTCGTGCATCCGCTTGTTACTGTCTTGTTTGCCTACTAATGTATTATAGGTTTCCCACACAGATGCCTTTTTTGTTTTAAGGAACTCAAGTTTGGATACTGAAAAAGAAAAAAAAAAATGCAATTGGGAAATGAGTGGCTGTTATGTAAATTCAAAATGGGTTGATCATGCAATGTTCATATTTGAAGGATGGTAGGTGGAAATTGTCAATTGGTTGATATTTTTCTTTTTTACATATATATATTTGCTGCCACCAACTGTGATTATATGAAATTGTGAAGACTTGTAAACAATGTATGATGTAGTATTTTCATGTTACTACCTTGTCAATAATTGTAAAGCACCAGAGCATACTTGTATATCACTGTATAAGATATAATTTAATTGAAATGGAGCACTTTTTTATTGAAGTCATTTAAACAGATTTATTTTTATGCCAATGCCTTTTTCTTCAACATCATGCTTTTGTGTCCAAAATAAAACCAGTGCTTATTTTTATCTTTTATTTGTGTTCAGGATTCTCATTAATTTATTGCTGTAGGCTGAATATGCTAAAATATAACTAAAAAGTTTGTGGAAGTTTTTCCCAGCTACCATGAATACACCTGCATCTCTCTCTTCTCCACTGTTCCCTTTTTAATGCAAGCACATCAACACACCATTTCTGCTTAATGTTGAAATGAGTAATTTTTAGAAAGAATTCATATTCCAGCCAGTTTTAAGAGGGATTCTTTTTTAAATATATATTATTGGGTTAGATATCCATTGTTGCTGATAACCAAACCAAGTTACTGATTTGTGACATGACTTGATTTACTGTGATATGATTAGAGAGATAAATGTTCAGCAAGTTGATCATGTGAACAATAATTCACAGTGATGCAAGAATCAGAACTTCAAACCTTATTGTAGAAAGCAGATATCTTGTATCAGTGACCATGATAACTAATTAGACTAGGGTTTTAGGAGCATTTAAACTAATTGTTAAAGTTAGATGGAAAAGCGCACCAGTACCTTGAAGAAGCACCTGGGTCTGTGGAGTCTTTTGCGAGATCACGGCTCGAGTGTTTTTTTTAGTGATGGGTATGGCTCCATAAAATAATATTGATGTAATACATATTTATGTTCATTTGGAATTGTACTTTGATTGAACTTATTTTTTATATTTAATATTTTCAGAAATATCATACCTCTTTTCCGTTTTTCTCTTCCTGATGTGAACATATTCATGATTTTGACTGTAATATATTGATATCACATAATGGGAATGATTTCTGATCATATCACATTGAAGTTTAAAGGAGATAAAGACAATGAAACAGGAGTATATGTAGACGTGATTTATTAAATAGGTAAAATATAGAGAATCTTGAGTGCAATACTACAACCAAACATGTTCACAAATTGTAAAGTTTGAAGCATGTGGAATTCTTAAGCAGCAAGTAAATGGAATTATTGTAAAATGAGCAATGTAGTTATTATTATGATTTTATTTATTTTTATTTTTTTTATACAATATGAATATTTACATCATTAATTATATTCAGCATAGAAAAGATATTGCTTAGTGTGATTGGCCTTGAAAGGGATGTGGGAAATAATTTACAAGATGTATGACGTTTGGAATCATTACTTCCTCCTTGATCCTTTATAAGCTTTTATTTACATATGGCTTAAATTTGCATTTCATAAACTGCATGATGATTAGTCACGTACCTTTAGTATATCAAGAGTATTCATTAATACAGCTATGTAGGTTCTGCTGGAGCAGTTTGGGGATATAAGGTAAGGAGTTTGTGTTTTGCCGTAGGATCATGGAATTTTAGTTGCTTATGGTTTAGATTAACACATGAGACTGTTGTCCGGCTATGAGATGTACCGTAACTATGGGTGATTCTATTATTAAGAATAGTTGAAGTGAAAGAGACTGAAAAAAATGGTTTTATTTTTTTATTCAATTGAAATGAAAGCCATAATATTGTGAATGTTGAAATAAAGATTATTTGAAGGCAGAAACTTTAAAATGATGTACAGTTTAGGCTTGAGAGTAGTAAGTGAAATACAAAAAATATTAAATGAGAGTGGATGTAAGCTTAATGTGTATTCCAAGAACAGTTTAAATTAACATGGTAGTCCTATTAATAAAAATATGGAAGGAAGACTAAGTTGTTGATTCTCAAAGCAGTGTTTGTATATATGAAAGTGTAAAGTTAACGTTTAAATACATCAAAAATGCATGGCATTTTCTTTGAGAGAACTGGATATAACCTTACTGTAAAAAAACTAAGACAGTTTAGGACATGATACACAATTCTGCATGTTTTTTTCCGTCAACTTTCAAATACGCATGAGCCATATATGTTCAATAACATCATATACTGAGATAACTATTAACTCTGCTGGTTCATGTAAGATTGCTAATGTCCAAACAAGCAAAAGATTCTCAGGTCACATCATATATACTTAAAGTGAATTAAAGTTTCTGAAAATTATATAAGTGAAACTTATCTCTATATAGGTGATTAACACATTAATAATTGATCATTTAATATGCAAGAATAATGTTGTATTAAACATTTAAGAAAAAAATCTTCCAGATAAAAGAATAACATGCACACGTCCGACTTTGGGTCATACACACTCCTTACTGTTACATGTGCTCATGAACTCTCATGAGGGTTGATGTTCATAGCTGTAGATAAATTCAGACTAGCAATATGTATGTTTTCTTTACTGTGCAATATTCACTTTTCTGTAAGAATTTGGTAAAGTAAAACTTTAATTATTTGCCAGAATTTTTCCATAATTAATTTTTTAAATCCCTGATTTTAGTGATTTCCATACAAAATTAGCATTCAGTTTTCCCAATAGTCTATTTTTATGTCCATAATTGTGGAGAATGTTTACTTCCATTCTGCCTACTCCTTTACAGCCATAATTACCGTTTCATTATTTACTTTAAGTGTTTCAGATTTTTTTATTACTTCTCCATGAGAAAATAAAAAGATAATATAAATATAAACACCCTTAGTCTTTTTGGTAATATGTTGTTACTTTTTCCTTATATCTTTTAAAACCATAAAAATTCCTTGTATCACATTTGAATCTTTCCTGTTACGTTTTCCATTAAAAATAAAATAAAACTCCAGATTCTATAATGGAGCATAATATGATGCATAGTAAATGTAATAAAGAAGTAATAGTTACATGTGTTCTGGATGTTCTACAAAAATGCATGTTCAATGTATTTGCTAAAGCAATCATACAGATAATTTATTTTAGCGGTCATGGCAAATGTCATAAGTACTTCAAAATAGGAAATTTTAAGTTGTAATTCCCAGTGAAGTTAAATGTTATTAATTTACAGTCATTCATAACCCCCTCATATAAGAAAATCTGAAGCTGATTTCTTTTCCTTCTATAGTTGCAAGAGTGGACTTTGTTTATATACTATGCAGTTGGATTTTTGCAGAAACATTGGGCATTAATTTGCCCCTCTTGCCATAGGATCCTCTAGGGCTTTGGACTAACATATTCTAATCCCCCCCCCCCCAAATGACAAGTTCCCTGTGCCTCCCTTCCTCAAATACTGCATTTTAC